AATATGGAATTCCTTTTCTACTGCTGCCTTCCAGGTGTTCTGGGTTTCCCTGCCTGATCCACTAGCCCAATCCATTTTCCAAAAAGGAAACTTTTGGAATGTTTCCCACCAACGCTGGCAGTCTCTCATCTTCTGGGATGGTGCTGGCAGAGGGAAGTCCTCTCCAATCCATCACAGTGGAATCCAAGCCCATCCCATCCCACCAAATCCATCTCGGTGCTCCGCCTTGCCCCTGGGAGGTGGATCAGAGGGAAGTTCTTTCCCTGGGATGGAATCACAGAACCACCCTGGTTAGGAGGGACCTTGAGGGCTCATCTGGTCCAACCCGGTGTGGGGAAGGAATGGGTGGAAGGTGCCCTGTCCCATGCATCCCGAAAACCTCCGGCAGCGGGGTCTCCACCACATCCACAGGGAAGTTGTCCCAGGGGAAGATGGGTCTCACTCCGAGGAATTTCTTCCTTGTGCAGAGATCAAACCTTTCCTGAGGCACCTTGGAACCTTTGACTTGTCTTCTCCACGTGACTCCATTTCTCCTCCTCCTCATCCTGGTAGCCACCCCTAAAGGACTGGAAAACCACAATGAGGGAATTTCTCTTTATGCAATCAAATCCCATCCCCTTTCCTGGGAAAATTGGTGCATTCCCATGGGAATTTCCTGCAGGTCAGGAGCTTTCGATGCAATTCCCTTTTGGGGAATGCCGGGTCAGGTGGGGCAGTCACAGCCCCATCCCTGGAAATGTCCAAAGTTGGACACTGTGGCTTGGAGCACCCTGGGACAGTGGAACGTGTCCCTGTCCGTGGTGTTGGATCTGGGTGGGCTTTGAGGTCTCTTCCCACCCAAACCATTCCACGATTCCACGACTGTGACTCGGGCGCGAGCGTGCAAACGCCGGTGGTGGCTTTGATCTGGTTCCAGGAGCTCTGGCAGGGCTCGCAAACCGTGTTTGGAATCAGTTTGGATTCACATTCCAGTGCTCCTGGCCTGGCCGGGAGGATTCGATCCAGATTCCGCGCTGTCGTCAGACGGAACAAACTGTCCCTGCTCCCCTTCACATCTGGAAGGGGACACGGAGTCCAACCACGGCCTGGTGTCCTCCTGCGGGGACCTTCCAGCCACCCTCGCCCTGTGCTTGAGGTGAGGGGCACAAAAATTGGTCTGCTTGGATAAAAAGGACGTTTTTGAAGAGTTTGAGGTGGTGACATTGCAAGGGGGGTGAAAAGGAAGTGGTTTTGAGGTAGAGCTGGTGATTGGGTTTGATGATGTGAAAGGTCTTTTCCAGTTTAAACGATTCCGTGATCCCATTAAATGGGGGGAAAGTTTTTCCTAGGGGAACCCGGGACAGGGCTGGGAACTGTCTCCCAGTTTAAATTCACATTTCAATTTGGGTACAAGTCCCTATATATGTATAAAACCAATTTTAGCGTTTTTTAATACCTTTTTTTCTGGCATTTTATTCAAACCAACCTCCACTTCTCCATTTTTATAAAGCTGTGCCTGCACCTCTCCCTGCTCCTGCTCGAGGTGTTCCAGGAACCCGGGGAATCTGCAGGTCCCTTGCCCTGAGCACGTCTGCAGCTTCCTGATCTCATCCCGCTCCCACATCGTCGTGGTGAAAGCTCCTCTTAATTTTCCCTCCTCTTTTTTTCCCTTTCCCCCCCTTCTCCTTCTTCTCCTTCTCCCCCCCTCCCACCCCCAGTGGATGTGCTGTCGAGTTTGATTTATGGC